CAACTCGTACTCACTAACACGTGCCTACAGCTACAGTGTCTTGAGTACATGTATCAGTGCCTGGAGTATATGCATGTAACAGTATCTAGCGTACATGTAACAGTGCCTCGAGTACATAACAGTGCCTCGCGTACATGCAACAGTGTCTTGAGTACATGTAACAGTGCCTCGAATGCATATAACAGTGCCTCGAATGCATATAACAGTGCCTGTCTTGAGTACATATAACTGCCTCGAGTACATGTAACAGTGCCTCGAGTACATGAAACAGTGCCTCGAGTACATGAAACAGTGCCTCGAGTACATGTAACAGTGCCTCGAGTACATGCAGCAGTGTCTTGAGTACATATAACTGCCTCGAGTACATGTAACAGTGCCTCGAGTACATGAAACAGTGCCTCGAGTACATGAAACGGTGCCTCGAGTACATGTAACAGTGCCTCGAGTACATGCAGCAGTGTCTTGAGTACATATAACTGCCTCGGGTACATGTAACAGTACCTCGAGTACATGAAACAGTACCTCGAGTACATATAACAGTGCCTCGAGTACATGAAACAGTGCCTCGAGTACATGTAACAGTGCCTCGAGTACATGTAACAGTGCCTCGAATGCATATAACAGTGCCTCGTGTACATGCAAATGCCTCGAGTACCTCTAACAGTGTCTTCTTGAGTACATATAACAATACCTCTATTACATAAGTGCCTCGAGTACATGTACCAAAAGATCACTGGTGCACCTGACTTAATACCGGTTATTGTCACACCTGTAGAGCGAGAGACAAACACACGTCCCCCTTCAGGTGTAACTCTTAACTACACCTTCTCTCTCTTACCTTACGAGATAAAAACTGAACTAGGAACTTCTGAGTCTATTACGTGTGTCATAAGGTCATAGCTCCTGACACCTTTTGACACAGCAGGATTTATGACACCTGGTTCAAATTCTCAATAGATCTTAGACATTTTTTTTTCCTCGTAAAGTGAGAACGTATCTGACTAGCTTTCTACTACGACACAAAGATGGATTTTCAAAAGTCATACGCTTGAACTTTTTCCCCGTTTGTTTATCATCAATAACACGGTATGACGCCTCTAATTAATTAGTGACGTGGGTGGTGCAAGGAGAACATTTGAAAACGTGATTAGAAACGGCTAATCAAAACCCTCCAATCCATAATCTAATTGGAATTGAATTTTAAGTTATCAGATTAGATGTTATTCCTCTTTTTTTTAAACCATTGGACAAGGTCAATATATCACCCCAAATCTAGAAATATAACGAGAAACTATTTTAAACTATTGGATTGGAAACTTTTAGATGACTGGCCACTCTTTCCCAAGCTATAAAAAAATATAAGTGACTGGAATGTTCTTTTTAGTTTTGTTTGGCACGACTGGGTAGAATGATTGAATGTACGACTCATCCATATATTGTAAAGAACGACGAACTGATTCTACGATACCTCCCAGGGCCCAGTCATGACAACAGGAGCGTTAGAATTCCCACACTCAGACACAGGTAGATAAATAATCAATGAAGACTATCGTTGAATAATCCAGGTGTAGAATAAATGACTCAGGACTTGGATGAATAAGTCAACTGGTGGTTTGGTGAACTGAACCACACCACACGCAGACACACAAGAAGTTCCCTCTTTCCCTGGCCAATATTTACACCCGAGTGAGAAATATCTACCAAATGTGACGCAGCTCAGAGCCCATCAGTATCACACATATACCATATGCTGCCTTACCTCGCCACTAACAACAACAACAACGACACCCTTTTCCTTATACAAATAAATTCATATATCCCATAGTAATTGTTCCCGTATATTGTCAAGAAATAATTTACGTCCTATTCAGTTTATTTACATTCATTTACAAGAATAACATGAAGTCCGATTTATTTTTATCATTTTTTTTTTTACAGAAGAAACCTCGACATGGTGGACCTTTTGAGGTTACGTGGTGGTGAGACCTTCACCTCACCTTCACCACACCTCACCTTCACCACACCACACCACACCTTCACCACACCTTCACCACACCACACCTTCACCACACCACACCTTCACCACACCACACCTTCACCACACCACACCTTCAACCTAACGGAAATATATAAAGTTAATGACCGTAAATTTACCCAGATAGTTTTATAAAAATAAATAAGCAATTCAACATTTCCCATTTTCTTTATTGTCTCTCGGTTCACCGTTTTCTATGGCAGACTTTGTTATGTATCTGATGTTGAGGAGAATAATACTACCTTCAGCAGAGATTATTGTACCCGTCCTTAACACATGCTACAGGTTCCATAACTCTCTTCTACGTACACACACCGTCTCTCCACTTACACACTTCGTCTCCTCTATGTACACATACCCTCTCTTCGTACACACAGTATCTCCCCAACGTACACACACACATGTAGTTGTCATGATTTCCAAGCTTGGGGCTAAGGTGTAAGAGGGTGTAGGTGGGGAGGGGGGTTCAGGGGGGAAGGGGGTTCAGGGGGTAGGGGGTGATACACTGTACAACACTAAGGGGTAATGAGGGGTCAGGGGAGAGGGGGGGGGGAGAGGTCCTACACAATACCACTTTGATCTACCTATGAGCGGAATCGCGTAACATTGCAGTTTCGACGGGCTATTCCCGACCTGGAGGACAACAGATACCAACAAGCCTGACACACACACTCCACCTTGAATAGTGAACCTCGAACCTACACCCCCAAGTAAGATCAAAAGTCCCTGTGTAGTTTTGACGCCATTTTGTATAACCACCGCATTGTTTGGTAACTTTCAGAAAACATATTAATCACCAGTTAAATATGTATTAGTAATTATAAAGTTATGAAATGTTATGGTACTATTTTTAATGATTCCTCAAGGTATGTGATTGAGATGGGAAGGCCTAATGGCTACCAAATCGAACTGAGACTCTACTATTGTGATGTAGGGAGGAGGAGGAGACTACAGGAGGCTGAGTGTGATGACCTGTGGCTAGATGATGAAGGTCTTTACCGTGCCCCGCCCCGCCCCGCCCCGAGACTCAACCAATCACAACACCGTCACCATGGCAACGTTGTGTTTATGTTTACACGTCAACTCGGTAACACGTGTGCGACCAGAGAGAGAGAGAGAGAGAGAGAGAGAGAGAGAGAGAGAGAGAGGGCACGATAAACAGACTCATTTTACCCAATAGGTGACCGTCCACACTGCACTATATCTGTCTAATGCACTTCCACCGTCATGTTTTATATCTGAGGAGCAAACGGGTTGACAGGAAGGGAATGGAGGAAGAGGAGGAGGAAAGAGGGAGGGAAGGGAGGGAGGGAAGGTGAGGGAGAAGGGGGAGGGGGGTTAGGGGGAGACTCACTCAATCAACAAACTTCATAGGTAAATAAACTTTTAAAAAATCACTAATCTATTGTTCTCCCAAAATATAAGACAGATTAAAACTATATACACAGTCATTGTTTATATGAGTGTCGTCAGCCTGTCCTCTTGGCGGCCTCCTGAACATCGAGAACCACCAAAACAAACAATATATATATTTTTTTAGAAATATAAACTTTTAGGGACGTTTTCTTTAACGTGTATGTAATTAATTTAAAGTTTTTTAGTCAAAGACATGAACGTATCTATGTTAATTCAGTGTGATAAGAGTAATATTCGATATAAGGACAAGTACAGGTGGCATTAAACCAGTGTGTTGTGTGTATCGGGTGTCTTGGGATTAATTTTGCCGTTTAATATCTCTATATAAAACTGATAAACTATAAACGACATACACAGGTAAGAAATATATATATATACTGAATATTAACAAGTATGGAGAAGTGGTTAGGTTCATTTAGGTGGTTTTCGGTGTTCAGGAGGACCACTTACTACTCTGGGGTGCCCCTCCCCCCTACCCCTTCCTTAATGGACTTCCTCGATATACGTCAACGGACTTTTTTTCTAGTCAAACACGGACGTCCTGTGAACACCACCGACGGACCGACGGATGTAGAAAACCCGACAGAATTACACACAGACGCTTGGAAGAGGATTCTACTCCCCCACCAGCTGACGGACACCTCAAACACCCGCCACATCCACACACGCATGGATATGACAAGAGGTTTAATGAGCAAACGGGCATTTTTATATAAGTTTTCATTTTTTTTGAGCATTTTAAAAGAACGGGATATGGTATTGCCAAATATATTATAATAATAATAATAATAATAATAATAATAATAATAATACAGGGTGATTCACTTCCTGGTAACCCTGAAATATCGTCAACATAACCCTTATCGGTAAAAGTGTATCGGGTATTATTACGTGTTTCCGTTATCTCTCTCTCTTAATTAGCGAACTCCAGGTGTTAACAGAGTGAATCACCTTATACGTTAATGACACACACTCATACCTCACTACAGGGGTCATCACAGCTAAAGTCAACTACTAATGGGTTTGTTTCCGCTGTGTGAGGCTGTTGGAAATACTGGCCTGTTTTACATTTCCTGACAACAGTGGTTCATTCTCTGACATCATTACCTGCCTCTCATACGCTCTAACAACATTATCTGCCTCACAGTTTACTGACAACACTAGCTAGTTTGTCGTACATTCTCTGACAACATTCCACACATTCCATGACAACATTTAACTGCCCTCACTATGACAACAGTATCTGCCCACATATACCCTGACAACAGTATCTGCCCTCACATACCCTGACAACAGTATCTGCCCTCACATACCCTGACAACAGTATCTGCCCTCACATACCCTGACAACAGTATCTGCCCACATATACCCTGACAACAGTATCTGCCCACATACCCTGACAACAGTATCTGCCCACATATACCTGACAAATATCTGCCCACATATACCCTGACAACAGTATCTGCCCACATATACCCTGACAACAGTATCTGCCCTCACATACCCTGACAACAGTATCTGCCCTCACATACCCTGACAACAGTATCTGCCCTCACATACCCTGACAACACTACTTGGTCTTACAAAAACCCCTTTGCCAACACTACCAATCCTCACACTCCGACAACACTACTCAATGACAACACTACCCCCTGACAACACTACCTTGACAACACTACCCCCTGACAACACTACACACGTTATCTTTTACATTCACTGGCAGCACTGTGTATATATTAACATTCACGCCCACTATACATATCAACATCACGCCCACTGTATACATATTAACAATCACGCCCCCATTGTATACATATTAACATCACGCCCACTGGAGGTACAGTCACGGAGTAATATCATGGCCACACCTGTCCCTCACCACCAGGTAAAGCAATAATTAACGTATGACTAGTTACTGACCCCGAGATCTAACTCATAAAAGATTTAAAGTATAATGGTCGTCAGTTTCTATTGACCTTAACCCAGACGTTGATGGCCAGTGACCTCATCTGCTGGGTCAACTCCGACACCAATTTGCACCAAGACTCTACTTTAATTACAATCGTTCCTATTTAATCTGTCGTATTTATATTATGATATTTTAAGGGATAACAACTTTCCTCCATTGATCTCTGATATTTTTTTGCGCTTTGGGAATGAAAAACTAACATGTGAAACACTCTGGTAATAAAAATATCATAAAAAAAAACACGAACATGATGAACCAAGTCCAGGGACATAGCTCCTACTTCCCGATGACGTCACAGAGGGGCGGCCTAAAAGAGGTGAGGAGGTCGCGGAGTTTTTTTTTATTTTATATTTTTATTACCAGAGCGTTTCACATGTTAGTTTTTCATTCCCAAAGCGCATAAAAATATCAGAGACCAACATAGAGAATTTATTATCCCGTAAAATATCATAATATAAATACGATAGATTAAATACTGAAGAAATGTGACGTTCCCGTGTCCGTCAGCCAACCAATCAGCTGCCTTGTTATAAACTGACTTTCGGCCTCAGCTGTAGAGTATGAGTGAACAACTTTAAATTATCCACCAGTAAAGAATTAGAATGTTTAATATAATTTTGTTATGAGCAGTAAAGAGCCGCGCCTCCATATAGTTCCACACAGTCAACTAAAACTGCCGAGATTTTCACCACAGCATCAAAAATAAATCTCAACCAATCCAGATTACAGCCGATCTTAGTCTTATATATAATTGCTTTACTGACAATCAATCACAGTGCACAACACGAGAACTAAATTACATTGGCTGGAATCAATCAATCAAAACACGTGTTATTATTAAGTAATCCTGGCCCTGACCAACCAAAACAAACTCCTGTATTCGGGGTCCCTCTCTCCTCACAATCTCTTGTTTTTCTCACAATTCATAAACTACTGACATCTTTTATATGTGTGTATATATATTTAATCAGATAATAATTCAAATTAAAGTGATATAACAGGATCGCCTTCTTAAGTTGGGTTTAGTAAAATCCTGACCTGCAGGACGAGAATTAAAAACAATAATAGAAACCTGAGAATTTTTTCCCTGGCAGCAGCTGGATATTGTCACTTTTTCTATCGTCTGTAGTTCTTTTTTATATCTTGTGTTTATATATATTTTTTTACAATGACGTTACTAAACATCACAGAGGTTAACTACAGTAGCTTAATGAAGTTATTGGTTCAGAGTTAACGTCGGCAACAAGACAATCAAGACGACGCATTGGGCCTCAACGAGAATTCTGGCGTGGAGTCAACTAAACTCGCCTCTATACACCATTCTCCTGGATAAAAAAAAAATCAACTTCTCATTTTCTCCTTATCAAACACAAACAAACAAATAAAAGCCTTAATAATTACTTCTCATCTCGCTTTGACGTGTACACAAGTAACAAAATTCCCTCTCTCACACACCCACCCTCCCTCACTCACGCCTCATACACAGGCCATACAACACACACACGGGCCACAGGTAAGTAGGCCACACCCCACGAATAACGGAGGCCAGTGGGTAAGGACTCTGACCCCCAGCCAACACACGGCAACACAGCCTCAACACTGGGGAGAGGATTGGGGGGAGGGGGGAAAGAAGCAACATATGTCCAACTAGGTAAGTGGTCCCTTGAGTTAACTTTGCTGGAGGGCCACTAGTGTTCATTATCACCGCCTGTCTTGATTGTAACGGAGGAGGAAGAAAAGAAGAATAGGAGGAAGAGGAAGAAGAATTGGAGGAAGAGGAAGAAGAATTGGAGGAAGAGGAAGTGTTTTACAAGTCACTCACACACATTACTGTCTCGATCTTATCTTGCTATCACTGCCACGAGACATGGAGTAAGTGTGTGTGTGTGTGTGTGTGTGTGTGTAAAACATCTCTCCTGTCCCACTAAGTGTGTGTGTGTGTGTGTGTGTGTGTGTGTGTGTGTGTGTGTGTAGGATAAGTATCAGTTTCCTGTCTGATAAAGCTATATATTATTATTTTATTTCTTTATATCTCATTCACAAACAAGGCTCATCGTATCAATATTAAAACAGACAACAAAACTGAACTCTCAAAGAAACCCATTGTTTGTTTCTTGTACAGCTTTATCAGACAGAGAAACATAACCTCCTGTGTATTATTATGATCAGTGGCTTTACCCTACATACACATAACACTGGGACACTCTGGCCTACCCTCTGTTTATCAGTAGCTTTATGCTCGTTACAAAGACCCCCTCCCCCCCGTCACGTCACGCTCACTCCAGGGCACCCCATCACGCTCACTCTTAAAAAAAAAAATGTTTCCCCAGTATGCTCGCTCTGGGGTACTCCAACACTCTCCTTCCAAGACTCTCGTTAGGCTCGCTCGAGGGTACCTAGGCACTCTTCTTCCATGATCCCCCTGCTATGCTCGCCCCCATTGTGCTTACTCTTATGCTCCCTCCAGGGCCTCGTTATACTCCCTCCACGGCTTCATTGTGCTTACTCTTATGCTCGCTCCAGGGCCTCGTTATGCCTTCTCCTTCATGTTCACTCCAGAGTCCTCTATCACGCTCACTCCAAGACATCATGTTATGCTCATTCCAGGGTATTTAACCACACTCACTCCAGGTCGTCCCATTATACTCATGACATTGTACCCTGTTTGCTCACTACTGAACATGCCATCATCTCCAGCCTGGGTACTCGGTTATGTTCATGCCCGGGCACTTCATAACTAATTACAGATCAATCCATTATCCTCACTTCAGGGTATGTCATCATGCTCGCTACTGGGCACCCCATTACACTCACTCTAGAGTAGTTGGTCATGCTTATTCGAGAGCCTCTGATTACAAAGACGTTCTTGTTTCACAACAGCCAGTCATGCTTGCTCTGGGGCACTTCTTTATGCTCACTCTGGGGAACTTTATCACAGTCATGTTCATTCCAGGCTGCCATATGACACTTGTTTCCAGGTATCACATAATGCTTGTTCCGGGGTACCTCAGTGTATCAAGTCATGCTCATTCCGGGGTACGAGGACATGAATGTTGCAGGGTACCCAGTTACGCTCATTCCGGGGCTACCTGAAACAGTGGGTTTTTATTGGCTGGTGTCACTGGTCATCGGGTAACCAGTTATGCTCAGTACGTGGCACCCAGTTATGCTCAGTAAGGGGTACTCAGCGTGTGTTCGACTATGCTCCTCGGACGGCTTCTACTGGGTTATAATACGGTAATTCTCGAGGTTTTAATTCCAAAAAGGAAAAACTATAATTATGAGAATCCATTGTTTTATCTCTGCATAATCCCGTCCACGTAGTTGTAAGCTCTCACAGACCAACAGTACTGACACACAACTATCTTACTGCATCAAGCTTGCTGTGAGTTCACTATTTTGTAAAGACATTTTCAGTGAGCGTATTTACACACATCATTATAATATTTTTTTGCAGACTAACTCACACACACACACAATAGTTCAGTGCTACAGGAACAGCATCTCACAGTAGTATCATTATTTTTTTTTTTTTTTACATAACACAATTACTCACAAGATGCCACTAGGTGATGACTATAGCTTAATGGCTTCCTTTCATTTAGCACAAAATAACCACTGTAATTAATTGTCTTCACCTGGTCGGGGGAGGGGTCCATCACTCACCCCTCCCTTACAACACAGGATCATTTCCAGTGTCCACAAACTACCACAAGCTCACTAACTACCACTCCATTCATTGTTAAGAGCCCAGCGTTTGGTCCCTGCTGCCTGCTCCACCACCACACAGCCACCACACTACGGTAACTGGACAACATAGTTTCTGGTTTAATGTTTACGTCTCTCCCAATTAGTAGTATTGAAGTTGGACCCTTGTGAGTGTGTGCATGCGCGTGTGTGTGTGTGCATGTGTGAGTGTGTGTGTGTGTCATCGAGCAGGGACTAAGCGCTGAGCTGATTATTACACACACGAGGTACAAGTTAAGTTCGCAGACTGGAGGTCGCTGGGGGGTCGACTCTACGTCCTCGTGTTTACAGTGTAGCAGTCGGACCCAGCCAGGCACCTCCCAACATCTCCTTCATGGGCTTGAGGGATGAGGGATGAGAGGGGGAGGAGGGTAGTTGCGAACCTAACTTGCTACGGGTATATTAAAAGCCTATCTTTGGTACATCATGACAGCGAGACACCATCGGGGAATTGGTTTTTTTTTTTTTTGGTTCACAGGTCAACTTCTATACTGCTGCTTCTGCTGCTGCTGTTGTTGACAAGTTACAGATCTACAGTAACACAGGCTGTTCACTCTACCACACCGAAATAAACACTATTACACTACTATCACTCTAAACTTCAATACACAGAATTATTAGCAGTTCTAAGTGGGTTTATTTTATTTTTTTTAATTATTATTGATTTTCTTCATCATCATCATATCTGTTTCTCTCTGTTCCATAAAAATCATTGTTCATTGTTGTCTCTTCTTAAAACACAAATTATTAGTTCACTTTGAGTCAGTTCATCTTCCTGGTCTACAGTATGTGATTCCTGCACAGCCACAATCTTCACGGTAAGTTGTGATTATCGCTCCACAATGACACACACACACGCACACACTGACGTCCACGATGCTGGTGCTGGTGGTGGTGGTGGTGGTGATGGTGTTTCCTCTTCACCAGTACGCCGTCACCACACCGCTAGACGGCGTCATCGTCACCAGCATCGCCACCAGCAGCACCATCACCACCAGCTTGGATGTCACCATCATCGCCGCTCCTCGACTCAGCGGGGGGTTTGATCCGCATCCACCTGCACACGGGAAGAGAAGAGTCGAGTTAGATCACTTATAGAAACAAAAACAACAGGAAAAGTGGAGTTAGATTACTTATAGAAACAAAAACAACAGGAAAAGTGGAGTTAGATTACTAATAGAAACAAAAACAACAGGAAGAGTCGAGTTAGATCACTTATAGAAACAAAAACAACAGGAAAAGTGGAGTTAGATCACTTATAGAAACAAAAACAACAGGAAAAGTGGAGTTAGATTACTTTAAGACACCTGGTTTATACTCTCTCTCTCTCTCTCTCTCTCTCTCTCTCTATTTCCATCTTCATCTATCTCTTTATATCTATACCCTCTCTTTATTCATCTTTTTTTTCCTTATTTCTTGGTGTAATTCTCTACAAACATCATTTCTTTTGGACAATTTTCTTCTCAAAAATTTTCTTTTAAAACTTTTGACCTATAATATTATACCAATTCTTTAATATTTTTTCTTCTTTTGGGATCACCTGAAGAATCATCATCATAGATTTTTTCACCTGAAGATTAAACACCCTGACACTATTGGGGGGGGGGATGAGGTTAGGTTAGGTCAGGTCAGGTCAGGTCAGGTTGGGTTGGGTTGATGATGAGAGAGTGAGTGAGTGGAGAGAGGGAGGATGTGAGAGATAGAGATAGAAAGTGAGTAAGAAAGAGAGAAAGAGAGTTAACCCAAACCTTACCGATACTAGTGGTGTTGAGGGCGATGTGTCCGTGGAGGCCCGGCAGGGTTCCTGCTGCAGGAGAGGGTGGAGGAGGCGAGGGAGAGCTGGCCAGAGGTTTGGTTCAGCACCAGACACAGCCGGCGGATCCCCTTACTGCTGCGGGAGGTCGGGGTCACCACCAGGTAGCGGTGGCCGTCCTCATCCCACGACCCGTGACACGAGTACTCTGTCGGGAGGTCAAAGAAGGTCAGTCGTGAGGTCACCGGGCGGTCAAGAAGAGGTTAACTGGGGTCACAGGGAGGTCAGGGGCGACTATACAAGGATATACAAATAATAAAACAGTTTATTATACAAGAAAATACAGACCCACCAGGACCCACAGAACCACCAGGCCACCAGAACCACTAGGACCTGACCCACCACCAACCACCAGGACCCACCAGAACCCACTAGAACCCACTAGAACCACAGGACCCACAGAACCCACTAGGATCACAAAACCCACCATAACCCACCAAAACCACCAGTACTCACCTGCCGAGGAACATCTGTTGCTAATGACGAGGTGTCAGTGGTGGAGCAGCCGACGGAGAGGTGTAGAGAACACCGTCACACTCTGGGTTGTGGTGACTGATGGCCAGGTCCCCTTGCCCCCTAGCACACCCAGCACCACCAGATCCTCCCCGTCTCTCTGGAGGTGGAGGCAGCCATCGAGCCTCCAACACTAGGGCCATACCCGTCAGGGTTACCTTCCGTGTAACCAAGACCTCATGGCAGCCCAGTGCCAGGACACGGCCGACTGTCTGCATTGCTACCTGTGTGGGTGATGGAGATGGTGGTGTGTGTGTGTGTGTGTGTGTGTGTGTGTGTGTGTGTGTGTGTGTGTGTGTGTGTGTGTGTGTGTGTGTGTGTGTGTGTGTGTGTGTGTGTGTGTGTGTGTGTGTGTGTGTGTGTGTGTGTGTGTGTGTGTGTGTGTGTGTGTGTGTGTGTGTGTGTGTGTACAGGTAAACTATAAATGTTCATTAAACATTCTTCCTTCCTCTAACTTTTCTTTACAAGAATCAGTCTGTAGAATTAGTACACTTTCTATGTCATTTGGTAGTTTAACCCTTTGATGACGATGGTTTAACCCTCTGAGAAATACAGTTTAATCCACCGTCTTTCAAAGGTTTAAATCATTAACTGAGACTACTTTTGATCCGAAATATAATACTCTCTCTCTCTCTCTCTCTCTCTCTCTCTCTCTCTCTCTCTCTCTCTCTCTCTCTCTCTCTCTCTCTCTCTCTCTACTCACTGACGAAGGTGGTGTAGTTGGTAGAGACAAAGTTGAAGTCTTGTTGACAGTACTATTGGCCATGGGCGTCATCACCTGTAGAGGATGGTAATAGGTGAGATACACGGGTAGACGTAATTAAAGCACACACACACACACACACACACACACACACACACACACACACACACACACACACACACACACAAGCCAGAAATAATCCTTGGAGCTTTACGACAACACAAACTCCATTTATATAAACATCGTCCATGAAATTAGAAACAAGTGACTCTGTTCCTGCTGGTCTAGAGTGAGTGTGGTAGTGTGGTGGTGGTGGTGGTGGGGTTGGTGGTGGTGGTGGTGGTGGTGGTGGTGGTGGTGGTGGTGGTGGTGGTGGTGGTGGTGGTGGTGGTGGTAGTGGTGTGGTGGTGGTGGTGGTGTGGTGGTGGTGGTAGTGGTGTGGTGGTGGTGGTGAGTGGTGGTGAGTGTAGAAGTGGTGGTGGTGGTAGTAGTGGTGGTGAGTGTAGAAGTGGTGGTAGTGGTGGTAGTCGTAGTGATTATCTTAAAATGTTGACACACACACACACACACCCACACACACACACACACACACACATAAGTACAATAAACACAATAAAACACCATAAACCTATAAAACACCATAAACACCATAAAACACCATAAAACACTCACCCATCTTCAATTCCATTAGATGGTCGTCTCGGGCAATCATGTAGATACACATATAGCCGCTGGTGCTGTAAAGAGAGTGGTGATAGTGATGAGTGGTGGTGATAGTGATGAGTGGTGGTGAATAATGGTGATCTCACTATTTACCTATCTCATCTCTCACTTGCCCACTATCTCTCACATATCCCACTCCTCTCTCTCTCTCTCTCTCCCTCTCTCTCTCTCTCAGGGTTGTGTCACTCACCATCCCCGTATCACCCGGGTGACGAAGGTGGCCGAGTACTTGGTCTGTTCCCTCGCTTCCATACAGACGTGAGTGACGACCCCCTTGGTGGAACGACTGGTCAAGCGGAGTGTTGAGTTACGGCGAGTGACATGGAGGGTTGTCTGACCATCCAGGGAGTGCCAACGAGGTGCAGACGCCCACACAGGGAACCGACATTTGCCACCATTATTGTCAACTGCGCGGGAAAGGAAACGGGATAATGAGGGACCCTGGGTATAAATGTTTTGATTAATAATAATAATAATAATAATAATAATAATAATAATAATAATAATAATAATAATAATAACATACAACAATCAATTACTTATTATTATTATTATAACCACAAAAAATCCAATAATAATAACACTAAACAAATTAACCCAAAGAAAACATTATATGCATCACTTTAAAGACCAGGAAGTGACGGGGAAGTAACGGGGAAGTGACGGGAGAAGTGACTGACCTCTCTGGAGCATTAGGGTCATGGAGCCGCCAGTGACGGAGTAGAGGCCGTTACAGGTAGCGTCACCACTTTGAGCCATCACGATCCCTGAAGCCGTCACGTTACTCCACGACCGGTACACGAAGCACTGGTACCTGTGAGGGAGTACTGGGTGTTACTGGGTGTTACTGGGGGTGTTACTGGGGGTGTTACTGGGGATGTTACAGGGAGGTGGTACAGAGAGAGAGAGAGAGAGAGAGAGAGAGAGAGAGAGAGAGAGAGAGAGAGAGAGAGAGAGGAGAGAGAGAGAGAGAGAATAACACCCCCCAAATATCTCATATATCTGTGTAAACAATGGCCCTCCCAGTCCAAAATTCTGTTCCCCACACTTCCGTATGAATTCTCATTGTCTTCTCTCAGATTAAGGAGAGAGACAGAGAGAGAGGAGGGTGCTGGAGGGAGGGAGGGGAGTGGAGGGCAGGCAAGGGGGTGGGGGGGTTAGGTTTAGCTAGGAAGGGAAGGAAGGAGGAAGAAAGGGGAGGGAGGGGGGTGATGTCCAGAAGCGAGGGGAGAAGATCTTTTTAAGTCTCCCTCTAGTCTCTGGCATGATGCAGGGAGATAGTGTATCTCTGGTACTGATGAGCAAATTATTGTAGGTGGATCTCTCTCTCTCTCTCTCTCTGTGACAATATCAATAAACGGACAGAAGATGAGACAGACAGACAGACAGACAGAAAATATGATACACTAAACAGACAGACAGACAGACAGACAGGAAGAAAGACAAACAGAAAACAGAGATTGTACACTAGACAGACAGACAGGTAAGATAGACAGACACTCACCTGTCTTCATCAGAGGTAGCCAGCCAATGATCGCTCTTGCCTACGAGAAACCGGTTACTTCCTTCCTTCCACGACGCCAGGCACACCAACTCCACGACTGGCGAAGAGACAGGCGCAGTAGAGAGACGGGGGAGAAGGTGTGGTGGTTAGACAGTTTCTTTATTTGTCTCTCTATCTGTCTAATTCTATATCATTCCTGTCTAAATCAATGGTATATTTCTGTCTAAATCAATATCAAAATCCTGTCTAAATCAAAAAAACAAATTCCTGTCTAAATAAAAAAATAAAAAAACCCACAAAATCACTCACTTTCACTCTCCGTGCCTTGGATATCCGGACAAGCTTGATACCGAAAGAGAATCCGCCAATCTTCGGTACACGAGTCGACGGTACTTAGCGGGTACTTACACTCGGCATGACCGCTGTTGTAAGTGAAGGTATAAGTATGGGGGAATGGACAGGGGACAGGTTCAGCGTTTAGACGGAACATGGAGTGCAGTTGGGCGTCACCCGTCAATAAGGAACAAACGTATTCCAGCGAGTTACTTCGGTCGCAATAAGCTGTAAGGGAGAAAGAGACATGGTGGTAGTAGTGGTGGTAGTAGTGGTGTTGGTTTGTTTGGAAAAGGGGTAGGTAGGTTGGTGGTTATTGGGGGGGGGATAATTGGTCTCTCTCTCTCTCTCTCTCTCTCTCTCTCTTACCCTCCTCCCTTTCTCTATTTCTCCTCTCTCTCTCTCTCTCTCTCTCTCTCTCTCTCTCTCTCTCTCTCTCTCCTCTCTCTCTCTCTCTTTCTCTCTCTCTCTCTCTCTCTCTCTCTCTCTCTCTCTCTCTCTCTCCTCTCTCTCCTACCCTCCTCCTTTCTCTCTCTCTCTCTCTCTCTCTCTCTCTCCTCTCTCTCAGGTGATGACAGGTGAGTACATCAGGTGAGAGACAGGTGGAGACAGGAGGAGACACTGACAGCCAGGACAGATAACTCACACTCTGAGACACACCGGATGAGATATGCCTCTCGGTGAATCTCTCAAGGCATGTCTGTGTATGCCTGCTCTGTGTTTAGCTTCTATCTCTCTCTCTCTCTCTCTCTCTCTCTCTCTCTCTCTCTCTCTCTCTCTCTCTCTCCTCTCTTACTTTCTTTATACTGTAGAACATTGAAGTGCTGTTGGTGGATGACGAGACATCTGTAGCAGCCATGAATCCTGTAGAGAGAATTAGAGTTAGCTCACATGATAATAAAAAAAAAAAAAAAAAAAAAAAATAATAATAATAATAATAATAATAATAATAATAGATATAGATAGAAGGATAGTTTCTCTCTCTCTATCTCTAATCTTTCAATCATTATCTCTCTTTGTCTCTATAGAACAACCCCCCCTCTTCCCCTCCTCCTTTCTCCCTCCCTCCCTTTCCTTCCCTCCACCTTCCTTCCATCACCTATCAAACCTCCACCCCTCTCCTCCCTCCACCCCTCCTTCCATCTTCCCTCCTTCCCTCCTCCCTCCACCGTATTTATCTCAACCCTAGCCTTCAGTTTATGTGAGTCTTAAAGCTTAGTAATAGTGTGTGTGTGTGTGTGTGTGTGTGTGTGTGTGTGTGTGTGTGTGTGTGTGTGTGTGTGTGTGTGTGTGTGTGTGTGTGTGTGTGTGTGGCTGAACATTAATCTACGACTTACACTCTCTCTCTCTCTCTCTCTCTCTCTCTCTCTCTCTCTCTCTCTCTCTATGTAAATAAACAAATAAATATCCCTAGTGGTCCATTTACACAATTTACGGCCCAATAAAATACTTGCTTTTACACAATTTACAACCTGATGATAGAGACCAGGACTTGTACCGGTCCAGCTGTACTAGGGAACTGTACCGGTCCAGCTGTACTAAGGAACTGTCCAGCTGTACTAGGGTGTGCGTCATGTCTGGGAACTGTGCCGGTCCAGCTGAAGAACTGTTCAGCTGTTGGTGTCCGTCAGCTGTCTGGTGTCGTGTGCTAGGAACTGTACCGGTCCAGCTGTACTAGGGAACTGTACCGGTCCAGCTGTGCTAGGGAACTGTGCAGTCCAGCTGTACTAGGAACTGTCTAGCTGGAACTGTACCGGTCCAGCTGTACTAGGGAACTGTGCCGGTCCAGCTGTACTGGGTGTCGGCAGCTGCTGGGTCCGTGCTGTGCGGCTTCCGGTAGCTGCTAGGGACTGTACCGGTCCAGCTGTGGGAACTGTACCGTCTGTGGGTGTACCGTCCAGCTGTACTAGGGAACTGTCCGGTCCAGCTGTACTAGGGAACTGTACCGGTCCAGCTGTACTAGGGAACTGTACCGGTCCAGCTGTACCAGGGAACTGTACCGGTCCAGCTGTACTAGGGAACTGTACCGGTCCAGCTGTACTAGGGAACTGTACCGGTCCAGCTGTACTAGGGAACTGTACCGGTCCAGCTGTACTAGGGAACTGTACCGGTCCAGCTGTACTAGGGAACTGTACCGGTCCAGCTGTACTAGGGAACTGTACCGGTCCAGCTGTACGAGGGAATTGTACCGGTCCAGCTGTACTAGGGAACTGTACCGGTCCAGCTGTACTAGGGAACTGTACCGGTCCGTTTGTTGGGCCAGAAGTTCAATATGATCCAGAATTATTTAGAGGTGTATAATCCTGACTAGTGAACAACCTTTATGAACAAACTGGGGTCGATGAACAATCTCTGAAGACTCGGTATTCTGTGTTCAAATGTTCAAAAGTTACGCCTCATTCAATGTTCCAATGTTCCGTGGTTGTTCATTTCCTTCCCCACCGTTCCAGGCTACTGAATTTATCACTTTCCTGTGTTCCATTGTTCATAATAATCGACCCTTTCCCACATTCCTGTCTGTTGTTTATGACTGTTCCGGTGTACCCTGGAGCAATGCTGTACACACACACACACACACACACACACACACACACACGATTTTCCTCCCTAGTCTTTGTTCTATTCCAACGTTTCTCTGTTCATAATGGCTCGTTCCATTTTCCACAATAGGGAGTTCCATCATCCCATGTTCCACAGCAGATCCATTCAGCAGTTTTGGAATCTTCCACCATTCTATTTCAGCATTCCTGTGTCCATGTTCGACTCATTCCAGCAATCTATGTTCCACACTGTATCTGTTCCATCGTTCCTTTGTCCATAATCGACCCACTCCATCATTCCCTTGTCCATAATCAACCCATTCCATCGTCCCCTTGTCCATAATCAACCCATTCCATCGTCCCCTTGTCCATAATCGACCCATTCCATCGTTCCCTTGTCCATAATCGACCCATTCCATCGTTCCCTTGTCCATAATCGTTCAGGAATCATTCAGCAAGTGTTCCAGCATTCCAGTGTCCATGATGGCGGGGTGATGGTGGTGTGTTGTAGCGGCACCAGTCTTTATTGATCGATGGCTGGAATATTAAAGATGATTCACTGGACCACTGATTCATTCTTGATTCACATGATTCACTGGACCACTGATTCATTCTTGATTCACATGATTAATTGGACAACTGATTCACTGGACCACTGATTCATTCTTGATTCACATGATTCACTGGACCACTGATTCATTCTTGATTCACATGATTAATTGGACAACTGATTCACTCTTGATTCACTGGACCAATAATTCACCAAGATTCTTAATATCACTTTTAATTTGGTGATTGACAGAGAGAGAGACATTCCATCTTACTTACGACACTCTTGAGACACCATCTTGAGTAAGAGATGGAGGAGGGAGGAGGAGGAAGGAGGAGGAGGAGGAGACATCGTGGGAATCTCTCAGTGTGTTGGCCATATTGTATTGGGGTGACAGGGGGAGGGGGTGAGGGGGATGAATGAAGGAAGTGAGGGGTAGTGAGGGGTGAGAGAGGATGAGGGATAAATGGGGAAGTGAGGGGGTAGAGAGAGAGAGAGAGAGAGAGAGTTCTATATCACTTCTCCTCAACCGGAAAACCTTTTTTATGACGTTTGACAAAAAAATGGACCAAAAAATAAATAAAAAAAACAAAAAAACAGTGAACAAAATAATAAATTCAGTTGAAGGCACAAAAAAATATGTATTTTTTTTGTACCGGAAAAAAAATACACAAAAATATGCAGAGGAGACAGACAGACAGACAGGAGACAGACAGACAGACAGACAGACAGACACAGACCGACGGACAGACAGAAGAGAGAGACAGACACGGACCCGACGGACGGACATACAGACAGACGGACAGACAGACGCAGACCGACGGGAACATGAACAGAGGAACGGAGCACGGACCGACGGACGGACATACAGACAGACGGACAGACAGACAGACAGACACAGAACCGACGGACGGACAGAGAGACGAACACGGACCGACCGGTTGGACCCGGACGCCTGAACAGACGAGACGAACAGACAGACAGACACAGACGGACAGACAGACAGACAGACCTGCAGACCGACGGACAGACAGACGAACCCAGAAACGGACGGACGGACAGACAGACGAACCAGAATGAGAAATAAAGCAAAGACAGAGCGACAAAGTGAGAGAGAGAGAGAGAGAGAGAGAGAGAGAGAGAGAGAGATACAAGATTAGTGGGACCTAAACGCCTGAGCCCTGGGGCAAGTGACAACTGATTGACGCGCGAACTGGAGGGGGGGGATCCTCTTCCTCCTCTTCCTTCCCTCTTCCCTTTTATCAACTCCTCTTCCTCCTCCTCTTCCTTCCTTCTCTTCCTCTTCTTCCTCCTCCCTCAGTCCCCTCTTCTCCCCTCCCTAGGCTTCCTGCTGCGTCATCAACAAAGGGACGCCATCCTCTCTCTCCCTCCTTCCTTCTCCTCTTTCTTCCTCCTCCTTCAGTTCCTACTCCTCCTCTACCTCCTCCTCCTCTTCCTCCTCCTACCTCTCCTCCTCCTCCCCTCCTCCCTCCCCTTCTCCTTCTCTTTCTTCCTCCTCCTTCAGATTCTCTCCTCTCCCTACCTCCCCTCCTCCTCCCCCCCTCTTCCTCCCCTCCTCCCTACCCCTCCTCCTCCTCCCCCCCTCCTCCTACCCCTCCTCCTCCTTCTCCCCTACCTCTCCTCCTCTCCCTCCTCCCCCCCTCCTCCCTACCCCTCCTCCTCCTTCTCCCCCTACCTCTCCTCCTCCTCTCTTCCTTCTCTTTCTTCCTCCTCCTTCAGTTACTACCTCCTCCTCCTCCCACCCTCCTCCTCCTTCTCCCTCCTCCTCCTCCTCCTTCTCCCCCCCTCCTCCTCCATCATCATCAGGGGTTGGGAGGAAGCCAGTCAAAAGTCTTCTTCTTGAGTAACCGAATACTAGGTGTGCTCTCTTCTCTATCTATCTCTCTCTCTCTATCTATCTCTCTCTCTTCGTGTCTTAACCCCTTGAGTAGAATGTGTCTTAAATAAGCATACTAATTATCTACTAATACTACTACAACTACTACTACTACTACTATTACTACTACTACTACTACTACTAACATTTCACTACTACTACTACTACTACTACTAATAACAACCAGAATCACTAACTACCATCACCACCACTAACCCAACATAACTACTAACTACCACCACCACCACAACCTCTAACTAAACTACTACCATCACCACTCTCTCACAACCACCACCATAACAATTACTTATACACATACAATCACACAACCATACAACCACCCACAATATAATATATCTGTATGTGTTGTATCCAGTTAACAATATGGCTCATAACCACGACTAAAACAACCCCCCCCTCCTCCCCGCCCTCCCCTACCCCTCCCCCTCTTTTTTTACGGATAATGTTGTGTTTTTAGTGGTAAATGAAAAGGCTATAGATGTTAATTAAGCCCCCTGATAAATACACACATTGCTTGTATTAGTTGAATTATTGTTTTTTTTTATTAAATCCGGGTGTATGATGGTGTAGGGATTTTAATAATAAATTCAATAGAGTCAATATGTTTGGTGGTGTTTGTGTCAATATTGGTAAATTATCGTTTTTTATGATTTTTTTGATTTTGGAGTGTTTTTTGGGGAGGAGAAAAAAGTATATTTTATTATTATTATAAAGTCAATATTATTTTTGTTTTAATTTGATTTATTTTGTATTAATTTACAGTTTTATTATTATTATTATATTATTATTATTATTATTATTATTATTATTATTATTATTATTATATATATTTTTTTTGGCGCGGGAAAAGGGTGTT